GGGAAGGCAGGGAGCGAGGGGCGCCCCCCGCGCTGCCCGATATTCTCCTTTTCCCCTTTCAAAAGGTTCTCCCGAGGCCGCCGCCGCGTGGGAGGGTGTAATTCCCGTGTGACATTCCCTCACGGATCCAGTTCCCAGTCCCTGTAAACCCTAGAGGGTTTACTCTGCCCTTTCTACCTATACAGAAACGGTAGCTTTTTAATCTATTGGCGCTGTAAGCCTCCCGTATTGTTTAAAGCCCCTTGTCTGCTCCTTTTGGGCAGCCCTGTTCCTCGAGGCTGTTAAAGGTGTGTGACAATAAGATAAGGTCGCCTTCCCGTGCTCAGCCTGATCCAGCCCATGGGCCTCCTCCCTGGGGCTGCACAAAGCGGTCTGGACCCGGCCAGGAATCCTCTGCACGGTCTTCACCGAGCCCTGGCCAGCCAAGCTCAGGTGCTGGATAAATTCCACCTTTTACTGGAAAATATAGAGAAGAAAAGTATTCCCCCTGTCATCCCATTAAGAACCGGACTGTACATGCTTTGACAGTAACTCCTGGCCTTTATGCAGGCTGAAGGCAGACAATGTCATGTCTTTGAGGACTGTGGTAGCTTCCCGCTTCCTTTAGATTGCAGCTCAAGGAACTGGTGCAGGCTGGTGTGGCTGTTGGTGTAGTTTGGGCTCTGTCTGATGTAGTTTCGGCTCTGCCTGAAGCCCCTTCCCTTGTGCTGTGCTTATGTGTTTGGGATCTGCTGGGATATCTGGAGCCTGTCCAGAAAGGTCACAACCTGCTGTTCTGAGAGGAAGGCATGACTCTGGATTTTTTTTTCTTTTTTCCACATTAGCCCAGCAGCTTATGTATCTTTTGAGGCTTCCAGCCTTCTGCCTGGGAAAGGTGACTCTTTATTGGGATTAGTATGTGTGTTTACTAGTGTCACTATCTGTTGTAGTTGCTTAGTTTATGTTGCATATGCATGCAATGCTCCCTGTGAGGTGCTATAACCTGTAACGTACGTCCAAGATCTTCCACTCCTTACCTGGTGTGGGCTGCATTAGCGTGAATTCTTACCAGAGTAGCTCAGACGAGGCAGAGTTGTCCTGTTCTGAACTGATTTGCAGTTTCAAGGAGAGAGGGGTCCTCAGCACACAGAGCCAGAGGAACAGGGGCTCAAAATCCACTCCACACCTGACTGTAGTAATTAACTGAGTTGAATTTGATAGAGCATATCCGTAAGCTCTGCTTTCATGACAATGTGGTGGCAGTAAGGCCTTACTCAGGATGCATAATGTAATGATTTCTGGTAAAGACCTGGCTTACACCAGGCTCTCCTGAAGTGAGTGTGTGGCTTGCAGCTAATTGTAGATATGCTGGGCAATTAGTTTGCTCACCAGTGCTCTCTGTTCTCAGTGATTGTGTTAAATTAGGAAAAAAAAAAGAGTTGGATGAGTAGAGTGAGAGGTTAAGTAATTTGTTTCAGTCAGTAGCTGGTGCTGCCATGAGTACAGGTGATGGTGGGATACTATTGTGACCCTTCTGTAGTGCAGATTTTCTTCAGACTGTGTCAGAAGTGCGATCTTTTGTAAAATGTTGGGTTTCTCAAAACTGTCACTTCACTGCATGTGCTGTTCCCCTCCGCTCTCGCTGTGGCTGCTCACCCAGAGCCACCAATGGCGAGAGCGTGAACAGCCTCAGACTGGAACGCTGGGAATGCCAAAAGGTACTTTTTTTTTTTTTTTCCTTCTCATGTACTGCGGAAGCAAACTCTGCTAGGTCATGTCCTGAGTAGGAGAGAGAAGGCAGTGTTTAATGTCAAATAGTTGTCACTAGCCTGGAAATGCAGAAATCCTGTGTACCTCCCTTTTAAAATCTTTAAGGAGAGGAGGTAAGATTTTTGTTGGGGTTGTCTGGTTTTTGTTTTAAAGCATGCCTTGCAGTCCCCCTGAAAAACTAGTCTCTGAACTGGAAAGAGACTGAATTATGCCCTTCAGTGTTGCTATTTCTTACTGTCATATTAACACTCAGCTTGTGGGAACTCTTTGCTGCTGGTCTCCAGAAAATAATCCTCATTAAAATAAGTCAGTGCTCTGTGGTTAGGTCACAGTCCACAGAGGTTCATGCTGCGTTTGGCACTTACCCTTCCTCTCTGTCTTCTTGTGACCCGTTCCTTTCTCTGCCGCTGTCAGGTTTGCTGCTGTGGAAATGGGGGAGTACGGAGTCGAGCCAGGCCAGCGTGTGGCCATCATCTGGGACAGCTCCTCACCAGTTGAAGCACTGAAGGATTTGGTGGATAAAATTCAGGCGCTGGTGGGAGCTGATAATCGCATCTCTGTGGAAAATGTTAACCAGCTGTCTCAGTGTAAGAATTAACTGAATTTTGCACTATTTTATTTAAAGTGAGAGAGTGCTTCTGTTGTGTGAGCTGACATCTTCCCTGGTTTGTAAGTCAGCATTCAGAACAACGATAGCACCTACTGCTAACTCTTATCACTGGCAGTAAAGAAAGCCCTGGTTGTGCTTCCTACGTTTGATGTCTTTAATGGGTTATTGCTGTTCTGTGCAAGCATGAGAGGTGAGGAGGGAGGTGGAACTGATGTATTAAGCAAAGCTCTGTGTGTATATGTGTAGAATTGTATCATATTCCTCTTTCTTTCTTTTCAGCGGCTCACAAGGAGTCCACTTTTGATGTAATTCTCTCTGGTGTGGTACCAGGCAGTACAGCACAGCACAGTGCAGAGGTACTGGCAGAAATAGCTCGGATACTTAAACCAGGGGGCCGTGTCCTTCTGAAAGAACCAGTGGTTACAGAATCAGGTGAGAGAATCCACATCATCCTTGCTTTCATGGCGATGTAGCAATTCTGGTGAGAATTAAGGTCAAATGGAAAGGACAGGAACCCCAACTGACATTCAGAGATTTTCATTATCCTGACATAGTAACTTGAAGAGCAAGGTTTTTATCCAGTGCTTTAGCTGGTAGATGTCAGAGATGTTTGCAGTCAATCTCCTATCAAAACCTAAACTATGTTGAAAAGCTCAGTGGATACTGGTCTTCTCCTGGGGTGTGTAATGTTAAACAGTTTCAGGTGTTATGTTTCTGAGTTGCTTCTGAAGTGATTTTAGAAATAGATGACAAATGGCAAGAGAAGGTGTCCCAGACACCAGCTGAGAAATAGTTGTCCAGAAAAGTTAGAAGTGTTGGACTAGGTTTTAAGGGTCAAAACAGAGCACCTGCTGTGGGACAGCTGGAAGAGCACACAAAGAGATTAATGCAAGATTACTTCTCTGTCTTATACTTGTCCTGCATTCAAACCTTGCTGGCATAGGGAGCTGGTTCAGGATGGAAGTGGAAAATAATCTTCCACCTGACAAGAACAGAAGCATCCACAGTCCCAATGTTTATGTCAGCACAACCTAACGGTGCTGAAAATGGTGGTGTAGGTGGCAGCAGAAATGCTGCCTTCAAGTTGGGAGGATGGGCTAATGCCTTGAAGCTGACAGTGGCTCTTAGTTTATTGAACAAGCTGCTTATGCTCTTTCTGGTTTGTTCCTGCTGTCAACTGAAAAGGGCTCAATTTTAAAGCAGAAGTTTGGCTTGAGTGCTTCCTTCTAAAGCTCTTTCTCTTCCAGTTTTTTTTTAGTGACCTCTATTCTTGTCCTTCCCTTCTCCTACCATTTGCTTTTGTGTCTTCCAGAAAACAACAGCAAAATCAAGACAGCAGCCAAACTCCCCACAGCTCTGACTCTCTCTGGGTTGGTGGAAGTGAAGGAGGTACGTGTGTACTAAACACTTCCAGAAACTTCTTCGTGCAGTTACCTTGATACATAGATTGCAATTTCTGGGGAATTGCTGGGTGACAAGGTATTTAGCTACCTTGGCTTACTGTAAATGTGTGTGGACACTGCCTGCCACAAACTGAAAATACCAGTTGTCTGTGTTCACTGGAATGCTGGATTGGGTGCTAAAATTAGGTATTTCTACATGAGGTTAACCTAAAATTTTATATTGCAGCTGCAAAAGGAAGCATTGACCCCAGAGGAGGTCCAGTCCGTCCGAAAGCATTTGGGTTACCATGGCAATGACCTTCTCATTGTTCAGATAGAAGGCAGGAAGCCCAATTTCGAAGTGGGATCCTCAAGTCAGCTCCAGTTTTCCTTTGCCAAGAAACCCGGTCCTTCAGGTAAGGAGTGGTGGATGCTGAATGTCTGGATTGTCTGCCTCTCAGGTGACAAGCATCCCCTGGAATAGGGAGACAGCTCCTGGGTAGGGTATGCTACGGTAAAAACCTGTGAAATGGGGCTTTCCAAAATTGTTTGAATTCTCTTTGTTGGGAGTAAATGGGATGAAGGCTGGAGTAACTACTGTTTCTTCCTTTGTTTCGGCTCCAGGAAACCCCTCCGTGGACCCAGCCGCTGCCAAGCTGTGGACACTCTCTGCCAATGATATGAATGATGAAGAGATGGTATCTGGTTTTATTTGCGCGGCTTTGCTATTCCTTCTCTCTCCTCTTCTTTCCTATTCTAAGTAGTTTCAGTCATGCTTCTTGGGAAGCTTCACAACTTATGAGGTAGAAAAGCATACCTAGGGCAAAATATCTCCTCTACTATGTGAGGTCTTCGGAGCCCAGAGGTATGGTGAGGGCGAAGAGGAGACATGGATAAGAGGGCACAGCTGCAATGCTGTAGTGCTTCAATGCTAGCAGTACAGATAGCACCATTGCCTTGAACAGAACTCAGCAGTGTCCTCCCTGCTGACAGATCTGTTCCTGCATGTTGTCTTCCATGTTATGTTTTCAGGATCTTCTGGACTCTGATGAACTCTTGGATTCTGAGGATTTGAAAAAGCCAGATCCATCGTCCCTCCGAGCTCCGTCCTGCAAAGAAACAGGCAAAAAGAAAGCCTGCAAGAACTGGTCAGTGATTAGTGTACTGGTGAACTTTTAACTGTAACCTTAAGCCCTTAGAGTTGGATGGATTTTTAAAAGTTTGTAGACCCTTTGCTGTTCTTCAGAGCATAATTGTCTTGGTTATGTCCTGTCCTGATTATTTGAATGTAAATCCAAATACAGTGAGAATTGACCAGCCATACCAGAACTGCTACAGACTACCACGCTGGTAGGGTCAACAGTCTTCATGAAGATGGAGACACAGTTTGTGCAGCCTTGGCTAAAACCCTGGCTTCTCACATTTCAAGGAGAAATAGCACACATAGCAAGCACTGTAAAGTCATGTCCCTCTCAGTTTAGACTTGAGGAGTGTGTTTCAACACTCGTTACACAAACCATGGTGGTGAAGAGCACAGTGAAGAGCTTGAGAGTCCCAGAATCAGCTCTGTCGTGTGACAGAGTGAGGGCTGTTGCACGTGAGTAGGGCTGGAACCAGTGTTCAGTCCTTTAAGCAGAAAGGTGCCAGTGACTTCTTTCTTTTTCTACAGCACATGTGGCCTGGCTGAAGAGCTGGAACAAGAGAAGAAGAACTCACAGCCCAAATCTGCCTGTGGAAACGTAAATAGTTCATTTTTGGTTTTATACTGTGGTTCTCAGTATGTGATTTGTGTCTGATAACTGTGTGCTCTAGTGACTGCTCCCTAAGCTGGTTTTCTGCTTCCAAACACTGCTTGTGGAGCTTCTGCAGAGCTTCAGCCTGCTGCCTTGTGCCCATATTCTCTGTTCCAGTGCAAGTGCTGCCCTTGCATGAGTCAGAGTGAGCAGCAAACCTTTCCCACCCCGCTCACGTGCTAACCAGTGACCTGCTGAGGGAAGACCACTTTGTGGGAGCCCAGGAGAGAGCTGGTGGTGGGTATGGGCAGCCCAAGCCCAGCTTGCAGCCATGCCCAGATGCACCAGCCAGGCTGGAAACTTGCTTCATCTGCATGAGCACAGTGCCCTGCACAGCTCTGCTAACTGTGCTAACCAGACCTATGTTGAGAAGAGGTAGAAGGGAAGCGGTTTCTGTGCTGATACGTGCTGAGGAGCACGTAATGTCTTAAACTGGAAAAAATATATCACAGGGGGAGAGAACTGAAATTTGCCCCCGATTGCAGAAGGCACTTTCCTTTCTCTTGGCAGTGCTACCTGGGGGATGCATTCCGCTGTGCCAGCTGCCCTTACCTGGGGATGCCTGCCTTCAAGCCTGGGGAGAAGATTCTCCTGAAAGAGAACCAGCTGCACGATGCCTAACAAAGATGTCTCTGGATGTCCTGCAAAGGACTCCTCTGCTTTTCCGTCGGTCTGAGGTTCTTCCTTCTCATCCTCTCAAACTCATGTTCTCCAGCCAATATTCCCTGTGGGGATGGACACTGTGGGCACTGACACTGCTGTGAGCTCATCACTTGTAATCAATCTTGGGCTACCTGGTTATCTCTGTGGTGACAAGCGGTCTCTTATGTACTAGACTTCATGTTACACCTTGGTTTAGCTGGCTTGACTCGATACTGGGACGCTGGCCGTCATAGCGTGTCCCACCAGCAGAGGGAAGTAGAATCAAGCGTCTGACCTCACGTGCTTGTGGCAGGACAGGTATTTCCCGATGCCCATGTCCAACAGCTCTAATTTGCCTCGATTTTCCCCTCTGAATCAGCAGCTCTGGCTCAGCTTTCAAGGTGACACTGGGCTTCTGCTCCCTTTGAAATTTGAATCTGCAGTTCCTCACCACATGAGAGCGGCTCAGCAGCTCCTGGAGCAATGAGTACACTTAGAAGTGTGTACTTTTAGCAGTAAGAGTACTCTTACTCTTGGTAAAGCCTGACAGGCATGATGAATTTCTGAGTGTTTTGGGACCCTGCTGGTCATATCCCCTGTCCCTACCTATTTCCATCAAAATGACAAAGATTCAGTCCCACTGAGAAAACTCCTGCCTTGGAGCAGATTAAACAAGATTTGTCTTGTCTTCCCACACCTTTTCTGTCTGAGGTGAACTGATAACACAAGGGCAGTCTGAGACTGTGTCCTCTTTTGGTGGTTACCAAGTGAGTTACCTGCAGTGTCCAATAAGCAAGAACATAGCAATAACTTAATGTCTGTCGTCACCATCTGCTCCTGCTCTGTGAGATACTGACTGCTCTTTATTTATTTGCGTAATTACTCCTAGTGAAGCATCCATGCAGGTGTGAGATGAGGGAGCTGTTCATGTTCACCCAGGGAGGGAAGGGAGGAAAACCCAGCGCCAGGGTCTTGGTGGGGATTTGGGTTTTTTTGAGCTGCTCTGCAGGATGTGGCTGCTGGGTGTTGTGCTACCTGAGTTCCACACTAAACTCGGGGAAGAAGCTGGGTTGAAAGGCTGTTCTGTTTTTGAAATAAAAGTGACCAATAGAAAAGCATTTATTTTGAGTTTGGTATTAGTGGTGTTCTCAGCATGTCTCTCCTTTTACTCAGTGATTTCGGGAACCATTTAAATCTTGGGTTGCATCTTGAAGTTCTTCGTAAGTTGTTCCATTGAAAACATGGCTCAAATGTGTTATGCCCACCAGAAAAAAACAGAATCAAGCTGCCTCGATTAACTTTATTTGGTCTAGATTTCAGAATGAGGCTTTCTCCTGGTTGAGTGAAGAGAAAGTGGCTTGGATGGAGGGGAAGGAGGGAGTTCTGAGGTGTGTGGATCAAGGGGCAGGCACTGCAGTGTGAGCTGTGCAGTACTCGGTACTTACCTGGGAACCAGAGGGGGACATGAGGGACTGGTGGTGATGGAGACCTCCAAGAGCTTGAATGTAGAGGGTTGACTGCCCTCCAGCAAGAGCACGGCTTTCCCAGACCCCTTCCTCACCCCCCTCACGAGTTCCTGCTGTCATCAGCAAGAACAACTCACAGGGAGACACAATCTTGTGATAAACTTGTCCAACAAACCTGTGAGCGTTCCCACCTTGTGATCTAAAGAAATGGGTAAAAGCCTCAACCCACCTACAGCGTTTTAGGATTTTATTGCCTTTTTTAGCCTGGCTGGTAGGGGAAGATCAGATCATTGCATGTCTCCATGTCAAAGGTTCCTGATAAAGGTAGCCCTTAACCTGAACTCTGATTTCCTTTCAGGAATAAATAAGATAAGAGAAGGAGGAGGCAGCAGCAGAAGCTTTTGTTTCACAGTGATTCACTCAGCTGGAATTTAAACAAGCTGGAAGCACTTTCAGATACTGCTGAGTTCAGTTGATGATGGTTAAGGCTGTATAATCTTCTCTCTAAACAGTGTTACCCCTCCTGCCTGACCTCCCCTTCTCCTTCTACCCCATGTTCCCATGTCTGCCATCCATCCTCCCCCTGGGAGGGTGGCACTTGTCCCTAGGGGCCGAGCAAGCTGAGACTGTGCCGAGATAGAACAGAACAGAGTATTTCATTTGGAAGGGACCTCAAAGGATCATCTGGCCCAACTGTTGTCCCCAAACTCGGGGGATCATTTACAGTGTGCAAACCGATTACACAGAGTCGAGGTGTTTGCTGTTTATTAACAGTTCTGCACAGAAGGGGGTACCTGCAGAAAGTGCAAAGCTAGCACACACAGCATTGAAACAGTCATTCATTTATACATTGTACATTAGCACAATTAACATATTCATTGTTTAATCGACTTTTACTGGCACTTGAGCTGATTGGTGCACTGTGTCCTCGTCTCCATTTAAAGGTGCAGTGTCTTAATTTTACTGGGTAAGCTCAATGCGTGAAGGCCTTCAAGCAGGGGAGGGTATCCTAAATCCTGGAGGTGTGCTTTTCCTATTGTAATTAAGTTCACCTAAAGGGCACATTTTTAGCTGCTTCATGCAGTACAGCCAAATCTCTTGGGCATTTGGCTCACTGAAGTTTCTGGTTCCTGGTTTCTAGGACTGTTTGTTCCTCTTATCCCATTGTCTTGTTGAGAATCATTCATCTAGGTGATTTATATCAGTGACTTATTTCTGCTTCTCAAGAGATTTCGATACCACAGCTACCTGACCACTGCAGGGCTGACCAACAGTTCATGTGTGGTATAAAGGGTTCACTTGATCCCTCATTTCCAGCTGTTGAGCCACCTCTGGATGGGACAATTGTACAGAGGTCTCAAGGGATGCTTTAAACATGCCCTACAGCAGTGCTAAGTCACTGTAACTCCAGCCATTTGCAGAGAAGCTCCTCTGATTTTTCTCCAAGTATCTGACGTGCTCCTCTGAAATTGCTGCAGGCAGTGAAGCTGCTCTCTCTCCAAGTGACCCGGGCTGGACACACAGCGCCAGGTAGGGCCTGTGGGGAGTGCAGGGCTGACCTGTGCACTCACATCTCCAACAAGGCTGCTGAGAACAGAAAGGACCAAAAATCACACTGCTCTGTGGCACAGAGTGAGCTGTGGAGCCTCCTGCATGCTGGACCGGGGCCTCTGAGCACCTGGGGCCTTACTGAATCCAGCCATTGCCGGCCCCATTGTTCCAGTTGTAGACTTGCTCCTCCATCTCCTACCATCCACTTTTTCTTGTGAGATCTTCTAATCTTCGTGTGATGGTTTTGAAGCATTGTTCAGGTGGTCTTATTTTTTGAGGGAGACTGCATCATCCATCGCCCTCTGAAACCATCCCCTCTGTGCCACTGCCTTGTGGAGTGTTTTCTGGCACTGCAGCCAAAGAGGGCATGCGAGGGCTGGGCACTGCAAGAATGGAAAGCCTTCTCCAGAGGTTGAGTGTATCCTCTGTGCTCTCCCCAGGTACTTGCTGCTACAATTCTGCCCTAAAATAAAGAAGCAGCAATTTTACTTCTGTTTCCTGGCCTGACTCAAGCTTCCTCCGTGCGGTGAGAAGAGCTCGCAGGGCAGCAACGATACCATTCACGCTCCTGGCACAGAAACCCATCACAGGCATCTTCCCCACCTGCCTTGAGCACACGTGGGGACAATGAGGACCTCTGTCTGTTTGGAGGTGGCATGTGAATGTTTGGAGTAAGGAGGGGATTGCATTTATTACTGCTTTATCTTCATACACTTGCTTAACTGCTTGCGATAGCATCTTTCTGAGAACTGAAATTCAGCTCTGGCCATAGCTGCTTCATCTTTTTAAAAATAGCTGAAAGACAAAGACACTGCCTCCACCCTTCCTGCCTTGCAGGTTCCTTTAGCAGCCCAGCCTGCGTTTCTTCAGCTCTTGCTCACTCCTGAGATGCTCCAAGGCTATTTAACGGCTGCTTTCCTGGTTTCTCGTTAAAAATGTTATCCCAGATCTGATCCCCACTAACCCTGGGCATAAGGCAGGATGCAGCACCACAAATGTCCCAGCTTTCTCACTGGTTAATGAACCTTTCTTGGTGAAGCAAGGAGCCAAATTTTCCTTTTCCTTCTTCTACTTTTTAAGGCAGTTAAGCAAATGCAGAGCCTTTTGCAGCCCTTGTTAGTCTTAATTCACTTTGTACTTTAGCTTTCCCATTTTGCCTCTGCAATTTAGGGATCATGTCATTCTGCTCACATTCTTCATGTTTTTCCTTTCCTGTTGGCCGTCTTTTTTGACCATTGGGATTCTGGAGAACTTATTTACAGCTGTATTTGCTTCCTCTGAAGCTTCCCCTCTTGCCTCTGCAAAGGATAACTGGCTGCCAAGGCTTTTAATACAAATCTCGGGTGTCCTGCTCAGCTCTTCTTGGAGTCATGAGCAGTCCCTCTTAGTTGAAATCAGCTTTTTAAATGCCTTTTCTCCTTAAAATAACATCATTTGTCATTTCATGCCATAGGAACATGAGAAGGGCTGTGCAGGGCAGGCCCAGGGGTCACCCATCCTGGCTATATAGAATAGTTTAGGTTGGAAAAAACACTTCATATCATCAAGTCCAACCGTTAACCTAACACTGCCAACTCCACCACTAAACCATGTCCCTAAGTGCCACGTCCACGCATCTTTTACATCCCTCCACCACTGTCCTGGGCAGCCTGTTCCAATGCCTGATAACCCTTTCAGTGATTAAAGTTTTACTAATATCTAATCTAAACCACCCACAACTTGAGGCTATTTCCTCTCATCCTATTGCTTGTTACTTGGGAGAAGAGACCGACCCCCATCTTGCTACACCCTCCTTTCGGGCAGTTGTAGAGGGCAATGAGGTCTCCCCTCAGACTCCTCTGTTCCAGACTAAACAACTCCAGTTCCCTCAGCCACTCCTCAGATTTGGGCTGCATTTTGTGCCTGCCCGTTTAACTTACAGCTTCCCTTTCCAAGCTGGGGTATCCCTAGGGATCCTCTTCCTCCTCCTCCATGGTTGCAGGTGCCCAGGAGGAGGCTGGTGAGGATGTTCTGCAGTTTGGTGGAGCCTGGTTCTGCTCTGCAT